GGAGAAAATGTTATGTTGCCATTTCCAAGCTGAGCACAGGCTCAGGAAACTGTAGGCGCAAGAGGTATACTTTAGAGGAAAGAACATTTATTACCGCAGGGAGACCTGTGAGAGCAGGAACTCAAAGGGACTGCCTTGCTTTTTCCGGGTCTCGCATGTTTTCGCCCTTTGACAGGGTGCAGCCTTACCACTTCTCTATCGCTCGTTTTAGTGGAAAATATTTGAATTTTCCTTCTCTGACAGGTTCCCACCTTATACAGGTTCTGGCTTTGGCAGGTTTTACTGTATATTACAGATTGGTCTCTCAAATGTGGATAGCTTTTTAAATACAATTGGCCTCCTTGACAATCCTATGTGTTTTATGCATTTAAAAACATTATTCTTAAGAGGTATTCCTTGACACAGAAAAGTTGAAGACTGTCTGAGAGGCACTCCTTAGAATAAATGACCAAACAGATGTTCTGTTCCCAGCAGTATGGCGAATTAGATAACCTGAGGAAGCTGCCCAGCGGGAGCAAATGAAATACTGAACACAATTCTAAATATATAGAGAATATCTTTGTAGATGCGGCCCCTAGATGGTACAGAAATAAGGGATCTGCAGTCCCGAAATGAAGGAAAAGCCAACTATTATTGCCTAGGGATTTCTGCTGAACTCTTGTGAGAGCTTGAGCTGTCGAATAAGAATTCTCCAAACCATTGTCTGCAAGCTTTTACATGATTTTCATTAAATTTTCTTGCTGATTTTTATATCTTGCATTTAGCATGCACTAAATTTTAGCAAACTGAATACCCCTGACTCAGTACCATGGTTTACCTCGTGTGGTGGGAAGGATCTTGGAAGTGTAACTTGAGATAACAAGGGAGAAATACCTCTCAGAAGATGCTTCAACTTCAGAAACAGCAAGGGCATGAAAACTGTTGGCGGCTTAAATTTCAGCCAAATGAATTTGCAGAGACTTTTTAACAAAATGCTTTTATTCCGATTTTTAAATGAAAGGCATTTTTAGGTACCTGCATGAAATATCAAAAGGCATTCATATTCTTTGCGTAAGTCTTTTTCGTCACAGAAGACTCTAGAAAAGTAGATAGGAAAGATCAGCTGAAATAAAGCAAAATGGAAACCAGATAGTTTGAGATTATGAGATACATGAAGAAAATCACTCTTGGTGTCTTGGACACTGTGTGGTCATGGTTAGTAATCGTCATAGTTGACACTGGCTCCGTGCCTAACGCTGTAGGGGCTTCAGGGACCAATCGCAGCGTCTTCATCATAGTGACGCTGGTAGTAATCACGGTAATAGTCGCGCCCGTTTCTATTTCTGTTTAGCCAGTAGGTGATGTCATCTTCAAATTTCTGGAGGAAAAGAGACTTGATTTAAGGACACACACTCCCTTAGACCAACCACATCTTACCTAGGACTTTTCTCTGTGGTGGTTTTTCTTTAGTGATTAACAACCCTTACTAAGAATAACTCTTCGACATAGTATTCCTCTGCTCAGAAGTCAGTACCAACCAGCTATAAGGAATACTGATAAAAGCTCTTTTGCCCCAAAGGAATGCATGCCCATACCTTTGCAAATTTGTCATACCAGTTCTATATTTTCCCCAGACTCAAACATTTTTCTCTTTTTAGCAAATAAAATGGACACTTGCCAGATGCTCTAACAGCTTGGCCTGACCAACATCGTACTGTTTGCCCTGCAGACCTCTCATTGTGGGCAGACACTGTCTTACCTTTCCATCCTGTTGCTGTGCCTGGACCACTGACACTGCACATCCCAAAAACCAGACCAAGCCTGTTGCTGTCGTGTCGATTCCGACTCATAGCGACCCTATAGGACAGTGTAGAACTGCTCCATAGGGCTTCCAAGGAGTGGCTGGCAGATCTGAACTGCCAATCTTTTGGTTAGCAGACGTAGCTCTTAACCACTGCACCACCAGGGCTAGTAGGTACTTAATAACTGTTGACTGAATAAATCAACCACTGCATTGGCATGTTATAGCTACAGGACAGGATATTTTCAGTGCTTTTGGTGGTAATTCTTTTATACCTGTGTTGTTGATTACAGCGTGCATTTATTCATTCCACAAACATGTATTAAATGGACACAGCGTATCAGGCACTGTGCTAGGTGCTGGAGGGTCACCAAAACCAAATAAGACATTCCCTGCCTTC